AAAAAAAAAAAAAAAGAGAAAACATTTTAAGCAGAGGAATGAAATGATGATTTACACGAAGGAAGAAGAAAGGGAGGAGGGAGGAGGAGGAAAAGTACAGTGATTAGAAGGTTGATTGATGCAGCATTCCAGGCAAAGGATAATGGTGATGTAAACTGGAGTTAGAGCAGTGAATATGCTTAGTTTGGAGGTAGAACTGACAGGACTCCTAAGGAATTAGATATAGAATAGAGAAAAACGAAGACAATAAAGTAGCAGCCTACTTTCATGTTTGAGAAACTGGAAAGACAGAAGTGCCATTTACTGAGATAGGGAAGGCTTGCGTGGTGGTGTCAGGCCTCTGAGCCCAAGCTCAGCCATTGTAACCCCTGCGACCTGCACATATACGTCCAGGTGGCCCGCAGGAGCCAAGAAGTCTGGGGCAGCGGAAAAACCACCAAAGAAGTAAAACAGTCAGTTCCTGCCTTAACTGATTAACCAAGATTACAACATTCCTCCATTGTGACTTGTCCCTGCCCTACCTTAACTGATCAATGGACCTTGTGATATTCTTCTTCTGGACAATAAGTCTTATGATCTCCCCACCATGTACCTTGTGACCCCCTCCTCTGCTAACAACAGATAACCACCTTTTACTGTAATTTTCCATTACCTACCCAACTCCTATAAAGCAACCTCTTCCCCATCACCGTTCGCTCTCTTTTCGGACTCAGCCCACATGCACCCAAGTGAATAAACAGCCTTGTTGCTCACACAAAGCCTGTTTTAGTGGTCTCTTTACACGGACGTGCTTGACAGGTGAGCATGGGAAAAGGACTTCAGGGGATGGCAGAGTATGGGTGGGCAGAAACAACAATTCTATTAAACAGAAACAACAGCTCTATTTTGGACGCAGTGAATTTGAGATGCTTGACAGTACCAAAATTTTAAAAATCGTTAAAAGTTGCACAGTGCGGATATCCCAGTTGTGTGCTACTGAATTCAAACTAAGCAAAATCTGTAGTTGCTGTGAGCCGGGGTTTGAAATATAAATGAGTAATAATTTCATAGATCGTATTTTAAATTCTTCAACAAAATACATATAAAACGCTTGTGCTGGGAAGAGACATGAAAGTTCTAATTCTCAAGAAGCTTAGTTGTGGGGGGTGGACAGACAAGTGACAAGTTCGTACTTTCAATAAAGTATGCTAAGCACTGAGTGCTTTAGGAGCACATTGGAGGAAGGAGAAACCAACAGTTTGTGTGTAGAGGGATGCGGGCGTCAGAAGCCCAAGGGAAGCTTCTAGCCGTTAATAACTGAGGTTAGGGTGATTTCAGTAACACTCAACTGAGAGATCCATCTATATAAATGTTAACAATTTTTAAAATTTTGATAGCCTAGGAAAGTACAGACTCCGAAATTTGGGGAAAAGTGATTTATATTTCCCCTTACCTTACCCCAGCTCCACAATTTGCAACCCGCGTCCACGTGAGACCCCGGTCGCACCCCGAGCCCGGGATCTGCGCACTTACGTGAGGAAGCACTCGGGCCGACCCGTGGCTTTGCCGACTTCTGCCAGACACCGCTCCAGGGTCCGTCGACGCCAGACCCGCGGGGCCATGGCTGTCAGCAACTCCCGACACAATGCCGCATGCAAGGGAAGGGAGCCGCCCGGAAACCGCTCGGCAAACAGGCGCGTAGCGCAACGTGGATGTCAGAGCCGAAAGTTCCGCTGCGCACAGGTTCCGGACTCGCCCTCAGCCAGAGCCAATGGCACCGCGAGCGCTTTCGCTTCTGCAGGGGCACGGAAATCTAAAATCGCCATGGTCGGTCCAAACGCCTTTGAACTCTCTCGAAACTTCGTTTTGTATTTTTCAGGGGCCCACAAAGGGTGACCCGTCCTGGCTTTAAGTTTCTGTTTTAGCTAAAGTAGGCGTGTTGAAGCAGGAAAGCAGCGCCCTTCGCCGCGCCCCTGTCTGTCCCCGCCCCCTCTGCCTCCCGCCCCGTCCTCTGCTGCGCGTCTCTCACCGTCCTCTGCGGGTCTGGACGTGGCGGGTTGCTTTCCAAAATGGCGCGGGCGCTGAGGGCTGCCGCCGGGAATGCCGTAGGTGAATACCGGGCACCGGCGAAAGTCGCCGTGGGGCAGGGCGTGTGGGAACGGAGGTCGGGGGCGGAGGAGGCCTCGGCGTGGCCAAAGCACCTTTATCTAATGCCCTCTCTCCCCCGGGGGCGCGTTCCACGGCCGCTGCTGGCACCTAAGCTGACGGTAACTTCCAGAAACGCCTCCGCGTAGTAGCGGGGATTGCCTTGTGCACGAGTCCCATTGCCATCCGGGAGCTGTGCGCCCTGGGCACTGCACCTTCCAGTATGTGGGCGGGAGAGGCGAGGGAACTTGCCCGGTGGGTCAGGCAGGGCAGGGACAGAAGTGAATAGAAGCGGGTTGGTAAGTTATTTTACTGCGCACCAATAAAGAGAATGGGGAGAAACCAGAAAGGAGAGCAAGTCCTGTAAAAACAACAACTGCTACTTCGGCCGAACTCCAAGCATGACCAGCTTTCTGTTGGGAACACTCAAAGGTCAGTGGTGTAAAGAATACAAAAGGAGGGATTTTTCCACGTGCACTAATGTGTTTATCATCGCGTACATAGATAAAAGCATGTGGATTTGGAAACCTCCTTGAGTTCTCTCCCCCTTCATTTTTTAAAAAATGTGTACATAGAATAAGTTATGACAGAAATAACTGTAATAATTGTCACGTTTTCTCTCACTTTCTCCTCTTTTTATCCTTTTTTTTCTCTTCCTCCTTTTATGAGAGGGCAAGTTTTTCCCTTAATCTGAGATTCCCTGTTAGGAAGAAGGTGCCAAGAGTAACTCTGGGGCATTCGTGATAAATCCTTCTAGCACCAGAGCACATTCTTAACCGTAAGGCATACCCTCTTAGGTGATACACAAAATAGGAACGTAAAAATATAAATAAATGAATATTTGGGAAAAGGCATTTTTATGTGTACTTTTAGAACTGCACCCTTTAATGATTGACAGTTTGAGAAAAAGTATGATTTCCAACGGGTCATATACATACTGCAAGAACTCAATACAGATAAAGGTGAATGTTTGTTTTGTAACTTACCTACACGTCTTGGCATAAAGG